TTTTACCCCAGTCCTCAGCAATCCAATCCCTGTACCTTTTGGAGAATACCAGTCTGTCCCTGATGTTTTTTCTGGAGAGAAGTGGGTTCTTTGCTGCCCTTCTTGACACCAGACCATCCTCCAAAAGTCTTCGCCTTACTGTGCGTGCAGATGCACTCACACCTGCCTGCTGCCATTCCTGAGCAAGCTCTGCACTAGTGGTGCCCCGATCCCGCAGCTGAATCAACTTTAGGAGATGGTCCTGGTGCTTGCTGGACTTTCTTGGGTGCCCTGAAGCCTTCTTCACAGCAATTGAACCTCTCCCCTTGAAGGTCTTGATGATCCGATAAATTATTGATTTAGGTGCAATCTTAAGGCTGATTTATACTTCTGCGTCAGACCTACGCCGTAGCTTACGCATAGACGCACACCCATACGCTGTAGCCTGACGTGCACCTCTCCAAAAATCTAACAGCACGTCAATTCTACGCAGACCGCAAGCGCTGTGATTGGTCTGCAAGAACCCCTCTCTCCATATGTACTTGAGTTTTGTGTGTTTATGTGCACTTTAATATATTTTAATGTTACACCGTCTTAAATAAAATAAAACAAAGCAAAGAACAAGCGTCTTATCATTTATTATACTACATAGCATTATACATCAGTAGTTGTCTGCAACAAACAATGTTGATCTGCCGTGGTACAAGTCCTTGTGCAGATTGAAAGATTGCCATCATCTCCTGTTCCGTTGTTGTCTCCTTTTTGTAGTTTTAAATAATGATTTGATTTTTATTTGCCGCCGTCACGGCTATAATGTTTCTCCGACAAGCCGCTTCTTCTTCGGCTTTTGCCGTGGTACTGCGGGTTACACCAGCAACATGCCCGTGGACACTGCTGACTAGCGTTTTGCATGTGTACTGCACGTTGACGTGGACAACGACACAGAAGTATAAATGAAAACTGACGCATAGCCTACGGCGTAAAGGCTACGGCGTAGGTCCGACACAGAAGTATAAATCAGCCTTTACTAGCAGCATTATCCTTGCCTGTGAATCCCTTTTTGTGCAAAGCAATGATAACAGCACGTGTTTCCTTGCAGGTAACCATTGTTAACAGAGGAAGAACAATGATTTCAAGCACCACCCTCATTTTAAAGCTTCCAGTCTGTTATTATTATATGCAAATTGCCATCATAAAAACTGAGGCAGACTTTGTGAAAATTTATATTTGTGTCATTCTCAAAACTTTTGGCCACGGCTGTACAGAAATTGAAATCTACACGCTAATACATCCTATAGGCAATGTTGATGTTGTTAACATTAATAATTTGAGAATAAAGTATAACAATAATAATAATTTGCATGGTTTGATGTGATATGAGCTAACCGATCTTTAGATAAAATCACCATTGGTAGCGCAATTTATTGTAATGCTTTTTTCCTCAGTTGGTCAGAACAAACGTGGCAGACTTGTTACTTGTTCAGATGACAATATATGGTGAAAATTCTTATTTGGGTTATATATTCCAAAACGTAGGCTAGAATCTGTGAGTGCGAAGTACATTAAATATCCACACCGGTGCGGTGACTGACTACCACATACTCCTCAAAACATTAGATTCATCTGCACTGGAGCCGTGTCGGCGCACAACCTACGCAAGGAAGATAATTCCGCAAACAGCTGCAATTGCAGGTTTTCAAACAGAGATGGCGACAAAGAGGCAAAACTTACGGACTGCAGGTTTAACCTTAGTTAATGCATTAACATTCACAATGAGCAATACCTACATTTGCTACAGAGGTTATTAATCTTTGTTAAAAAATACAACTCTTAGTTCATGCTAGCTCATTAAATAACACAGTCGCAACTTTTGATTTTCACAAAGTGTTATTAAATACTGGAATTACCTGAGATTAATAAATATTTAGAATAATTTTTTCATTGGCAGTTTTTGTTACCTAATGAATTAACTACTGTCAACTAATGAAGCCCTAACGTAAAGTGTGACCGAACAATAACGAATTAAAACACCTTTCAAACAATATCTAGGGCATGTTGTAGTCCAGAATAAAATGTAAAAAATGTAAATAGCCTATTAAGTCATGAGCAATACCTACATTTGCTACAGAGGTTATTAATCTTTGTTAAAAAATACAACTCTTAGTTCATGCTAGCTCATTAAATAACACAGTCGCAACTTTTGATTTTCACAAAGTGTTATTAAATATTGGAATTACCTGAGATTAATAAATGTTTAGAAGAATTTTTTCATTGGCAGTTTTTATTACCTAATGAATTAACTACTGTCAACTAATGAAGCCCTAACGTAAAGTGTGACCGAACAATAATGAATTAAAACACATTTCAAACAATATCTAGGGCATGTTGTAGTCCAGAATAAAATTAAAAAAATGTAAATAGCCTATTAAGTCTAAATATTTAAGTATTTGGCCCTGTGCTGAATGGTTATTTAAATCATTTAAACAGTTTCAGAAACAGAAAGTAGCGCAGCTGCCTTGTTTACAGGGTTTCCGGGGTAACAGCGGCATTTCTGCTGTTCAGTGCCATCTGCTGTCAGAGAGTGAATGTGCGTCTCTCACGTGCTCCGCTTGTTTACATCAGCGTGCACACATCTTTGATGCAGCATACAGCGGTATTGTGCATTGTGACCAGTTGATGGGAAAAGTATTCTTTAAATGCATTCAAAATTCTGAAAAATTTGTAATAATTATTCTCAGTATTTTGAAGTGCCCACGATAACAATATCGTGCATATTCATTATCGTAATATATATCGCATTACCGAATACCGGCACATGTCTAAACCCATAAGACCTTCGTTCATCTTCAGAACACAAGTTAAGATATTTTTGATGAAATCCGAGAGCTCTTGCTGACCCTGCATAGACAGCAACGTAACTGACACGTTCAAGGCCCAGAAAGGGCATTGTTAAAATAGTCCATGTGACATCAGTGATTCAAACGTAATGTTATGAAGCTACATGAAAACTTCTTTTGCAAAAAGAAAACAAAAACAACTTTAATCAACAATTTCTTCTCTTCCTTGTCAAACTTCCAACATGCGTTCACAAGAGTGCCACGACGCATGCGTGTTGCTGCTGCTGACGCAGGAGCCGGCGTTCTGATGTAGAATGTCCACCTCTCTTAGTTCATCATCTGTATATTCTGGGTCAAATAAGTAAGGCTGTGCAAAATTGCAAGTCATCCTCTGTCGAATCTTCAGATATGTTTACGAAAACACTTTTATGTACAGCATATGTCTTCCTTTTGCTTGTAAACAAGGCTCCTGTGTCAGCAGTAGGGCTGCAAAAGGATGAATCACATCCAAAACAAAAGTTTGTTTACATTCTATACGTGTGTGTACTATGTATATTTATTATGTATATAAATACACACACATACATGTATATATTAAGGAAAAATATGTTAGATTTATATATATCAATTATATACAAGTATAAATATTCATAATTATTTTTTAAAATATATATGTGTGTGTATTTATATATACATAATAAATATACACAGTACACACACATAGTATGTACATTTTTATTTTGAATGCGATTAATCGTAATTAATCTTTTTGCAGCCCTAGTGGGCAGCATCACACGTATGCTTCGTGGTACGCTAGTGAATGCACGTCGAAGACACGGAAGAGAAGAAATTGTTGAATGAAGCCGTTATTTTTGTTTTCTTTGCGCACAATGTATTCTTGTAGCTTCATAAAATAACGGTTGAACCACTGATGTCACATGGACTATTTTAATGATGTCCTCACTACCTTTTTGGGTCTTGAACGTATCAGTTGCGTTGCAGTCTATGCAGGGTCAGAAAGCTCTCGAATTTCAACAAAAATATATTAATTTGTGTTCCGAAGATGAACGAAGGTCATAGGGGTTTGGAACGACATGAGGGTGAGTAATTAATGACAATTTTCATTTTTGAGTGAACTAACCCTATAATGCTTCGGGTACTCAGTGATCTGAAATGCTTTTGATTCTTAAAAGTGCAATTTGCAAAATTGGACCCCATTGGCTTTCACGATATATTCATATAAGTGCATATATTTCTCGATACAGGTATTTCAGACACTTCATGCAACTGGGCAGTCCTCCATGGTGCGTGATTGGGTGCTACTCTCGCTGTCTAACTTCACACAGAGGACGCCTGTCGCCATGGCAATGTGGAGCCTGTCTTGTTTCTTTGTCAGTGCCTCGACCAGCCAGTGGATCTCTGCCCTGTATCCTTGAACACACATGATTTTCAGTTGGTGCAGTTATTGCACCCCTTGTATTGGTAACAACACAATTCCTATTCCATACTTTCTTTTCTTTTTTTTTTTTCTTCATACTTGTTTTCCTTAACGTCTTCCCTTTAGCCTACCGCATGTCATCAGTCGCATGGGGAAGTCCGACACAGTGGACATTAGCCTCTTTTGTCTGGTAGCTATGGATTTCTACCGACACCAGATCGACGAGGAGTTAGACCGCAGGGCCTTCCAGTCGGTCTTTGAGATGGTGGCTTCACCTGGTAGTCCGTATTACCAGTTACTTTGCTGTTTGCAGAGCATTCACCAAGACACGTCACTATAATACAGAAAACCGTAATGTATCATTAGGATCTCCACTGCAAATTAGGCATCAGAAAAGATGGTAACAGTACCCGAGCAGAAGACATCACATTTATCAGAACATTACACACCAGGATGCATGGCAACAACAAACAGTTATCTCTGATTGGATGTATGGAGCAGTAACAGTAACATTATACACCAGAGGACATTGCCCCATGTAGTTCATAGTTATTAGACAGTGGGACCAATCCAAGCAGGGCTGCACATCCATTCAAGTATGTGGCCACAAAAACCACAGTGCACTAGAATCTGTAATTAAAAAAAGAAAAGCAGTGCTACCATCAGAATACTTGACTGGTTTCACGGTATGTCACTTAATGTTTTAAAAGTCTATATGGATGCAAGCTTGTCTTCTCTATATTTTGTATGTATAAATGCTCTTCATCTGGTATCAAAGAATGTTACTGTGGCAAAATTGTGAGGCTGGTCGCAAAGGTTATCGGTCAAAACTAACAATGCGTTTCCATCATTAGTAACGTTATATTCTAATATAGAGAATTTTCAGCTATAAACAAACTGACTAAAGAACATATTGTAGTGAATGTTCTTAAAAACATGATGCAAACACTATTAAAATATCTCCTGCACTTCCGGAATTCAGCAGATCCAAGATCAGATCTTTTAGTCCGCAGACCTGGAGTTCAGCTACTCCAAGTTACTTATTGTCCAAACTTGCTAAAATCAATACATCTGGGTATTTTATACAATGCCGGTCTCTACCCTCCTCTCCAACAGTCCATACTCTCCGAAAGACGCTCACTTTCATACACTCGCCACTTATTCAGTTTAAAATAATTCCTTTTGCATGGGCGACACATTGCTTTGCTCTGTGTTTGCTAGCACTTGAAGCGAAAATAGATTGTAAATTGAATTTGTATATCCCCTCTAATGTGGGAGAGGGTACGTACGACTATTGGTATGATAAGATTTTTGTGTATTTAAATGTAAAATGTGTTTGACTTACTAAGAAAGAAGGGTAAATTGCCTGGAACAAAGTTTATTTTTTCCTCTTAAAATTTGGTTGTCTATATTTGTTGTTTTTAAGGTGATACTTTTTTTTAAGATGGAGAAAAACCAGATCACAAATGTGAATCTCTTAAGTCCTTTTGTATGGACAGGGTTTGAAATAGCCATAGCAGTTAGCATAGAGAAGTTTTTAGATGATGGTTTATGCATATGAAATTTGCAGCTCAAATCTACATACTGTGTCCCTTGAAACACATCTTTAGTTTTTTGTTAAATTTCTTTTAAAAGCTCAGGACGAAAGATATGATTATTGATCTAGTGTAATAACTGGAAGTATGTATTTTAATCTATAGAGTGTTTACATCAATGTACAATTTGTGTAAAAGAAATACTATTTGTGATTAAATGAATAAACTGTGGTGCATGACAACACCTATTGGTGGACATGAGATGGTGTAAAGAGAAAGGCTGTTGTAACCCAATGTGTGCAATAACCCAACCTTTCATTTTTGAGAGACTAAAAAAACAATTTATCCATCTCGAGTGGCATAGAAACCTTCACTGTAAATATAAGTCTATTTGAGAAGATGAGGATGTATATTAATTTGAAGCATGCTTTAGTCTGCTTTCAATATTGAGTCAATATTTTATGTGAGGACAACATTTGAAACGAGGTGACTTGTGTTTGTTAGTTAGCTCAGTCTATATGGAAATTGCATAACCATAACTACCAATGACAGATGAATTTGGCAAATTACATGATTCATTGCATGCTTCCATGGAGACAATTAGCTGGTCATGTCTAGTATGTATATGTTTATTATGGTACTATGAAATGTTTGCTTTGTCTTAGTGAAGCAGAACATATACATAGCAATTAATACTTGATATTTTCACTGCTCAGTGAAAAGACTTTACTTCTCTGAAATGTATGGTCAGATTCATCTTAAATTCATCGTAAATATCGCCCCATGCCTGCAGGATTCTTGCAAATCTACAGATTATAGAACCATTCAAAATAATGGATTTACATAATGGGCAAATATACATACGGTGTCCTTTGAAGATCTTTAAATCTCAGTTTTGTTGGGCTAAATAAGATATGTAATGAAGTAATGTTAGGGGTCACGTACAGCTGGAATAACTTAAACGGCTTTCATAAAGACCACCAACATGGTTGGACCAAACGTGAAATAATGCAGAATTAATGTTACTACTAAGCCTATCACATTTTTGTAAATATCAGATGATAAATACCTTTTATCATCTATAGTTTGTGCTTGGAAGCTTCATTTAGGGAAAGAGAGGAAAGAATCCTGACTGGTTATTGCATCTCAGATGGGAATGATTTTTAAGCCACTCCCCTTGAATTTTATTGTTCTTTTCTATCAAATTTAGATTTTTATTCTTTACACCTCCCCCAATTGATCTCAGTAGTGATCCTGTTAGATCTCAAATCAGTGTTTACTTCAGCTAGTTTGATCTGAGATGAAGAACAAACATGCAGTTAAAATTTAGCTGGAGCAGCAGCATGTCCTATAAATATCACAGTACAATGCCATGATGGTCAAGCACCGGAGCTTTCTTTTTATAAAAGGAACCTTTTTACTTTAGTTAGCTATTTAATTAGCTAATTTATGTAAACTATAGCTGATAAAAAGGACAAAAAATGGATATATTTATTTTAATGGATTGTTTAACGTCATAAATCATGAAAATACTATAATATAGAAATGAATAAAAGATGTAAAATCTTCAGTTTGTTTAATTGCATTTTTCATTTATCACATATTGTGGGGCTTGCCAACTAGTGACTCACTCTAAATCCAGCCTGTCAGTTATTTTCAACTTTATTTTACACAGAATGGGAGTTTTAAAGGGGAAAAGAGGAGAAACACTGTTCTTTTTTTATTATCATTATAATTTTTGTAATGTGACAGTTGGATATTTGATATGCACGTTAGATTTAGAAAAACAGTCCTTCAGAGAATATGGCCCTTAAGTAGTTGAAGAGCCCTGAAATATTGTGATTACACAAATTTTTTTAAATCATTATTACTTTTTTTTTTTTTTTTATACATTTACCCAAATGCTTTGAACATTTTCTACTACAAGGTAGGATGTTTTATGATGTGCTCGATAATGGATTAGGATGTTTTAGAGTTTATGCTGGTAATCCTCTGAAAAGCGCAGGTTATTAACTTTCTGTGCAGAACAAATGGGCGGTTACAAGCCCAGGGCTTGTGTGTGTGTAAAATTGAATTTTACATTTATGTTTAAGTCAGTTCAACAGCAGCAGCTGTTAATTAACTAAATTATTTGCTACTAATAATCTTAAAATAAAATAAACCATATCTCTCTTGATAATCCCATCTTTTATGTGTTATGGAACCACCTTGGGTGGAAAAATCTGTCACTTTCTACAGACCTATTTAAAGAACAAGAATTTTTTTTAAATTACTTTAAAGGGATAGTTCACCCAAAAATGAAAATTCTGTCATTAATTACTACCCTCATGTCGTTTCAAACCCGCAAGACCTTCGTTCATCTTCGGAACACAAATTAAGATATTTTTGATGGAATCTGAGAGCTGTCTGACCCTGCATAGACAGCAACACAACTGAAATGTTCCCAAGTCCAGAAACATAGCAAGGAGATCTTTAAGATAATCCATGTGACATCAGTAGTTCATCCGCAATTATACGAAGCTATGAGAATACATTTTGTGCCCAAAAGAAAGTCCTCCGCATCACCCTGGTTCCATTTTGGAGAATATCCGCTGGACGTAAACCGCGTATGCTGTTCTATGTCAGCTGTGTCACGCGGATACGCTGTTTCCGTTCAGATCAAATCACAACAACGCAGGAAACCGATCTGGCGTGATGCAGCTGACACAGAACAGCATGCGTTGTCTAGTCCAGCTGATACTCTCCAAAATGGCGCTACAGGGTGATGCGGAGGACTTTCTTTTGGGCACAAAATGTATTCTCATAGCTTCGTATAATTGCGGTTGAACCCCTGATGTCACATGGATTATTTTACCGATCTCCTTGCTACGTCTCTGGACTTGGGAACATTTCAGTTGCGTTGCTGTCTATGCAGGGTAAATATCTTAATTTGTGTTCCGAAGATCTTACAGGTTTGAAACGACATGCGGGTGAGTAATTAATGACCGAATTTTCATTTTTGGGTGAACTAACCCTTTAAATGGTTCTAGAGTGAACCTGGAAGGGTATATTTCTTAATGCCATTCAACTCTTAAACACTACATCTATATAACACTGAGGATAAACTGAATTATAGCCCTAAATCCAATGTCACGTAAAGGAATAGCCCTTTACCGGTGCTGTCCTTAAAGAAGAAATAAAAAGAAAAAGGAAAAAAACAGATGTAGTTTCCTCCTCCTCCTGGTTCTGCTGTCCACACACCAGCTGCCCTCTCCTTTTGTTTACTCCTTATGCAGCACTAAGGTTACCATGTCATTAAACTTCACATCAGGTTGGGGCACATCCGTCACAAGTAAGAACACTTAATTACCTAATATATAACTATGATCTATAACGCAATATTATCTGTACTGTAATGCAACGATTTCTTTATTTCTTCCTCACAGGAAAGTTTTTTGGGAAGTGGCGGCTAATGTTAGCAATGTAGCCATGGGAATTTCTTGTACTTTATGCGGATATAATTTTTTTTAGGTACAATATACTGTTATTTAACTGCATGAGGATCTATAAAAGATGATCGTTTTATAGCTTTTTACGAGTTGTGTCTCTCTATGTTATTCTAGTCAGCATCTGGCTACTTATGCCGATAATTCAATACCGTTAAATGTTACTCACTGCCCAGCTGTTCCTCGCGAAAACCAACACCGAGGCAGCTCAGCTCTCTATCGATATTAAATATTAAATTAATCTGGAAAGTAGTAGGTATTAAGACGTGTACGGTGGTGTTTTACTTTTAGTCGTTTTTCGCTCGTGTTGACTTCGACACCTGTAGCATAACTTTTGTGGTCAGTTGGCAAGTCTCCGTCAAACTGGGTTTGGGTCGTTGTGGAGATGATTGACAGCCGTGGAAACCAATGAGCGATGAGAAATGTCTAGCGACAGTTCCATTGTCATGGTTACACGTGTTGAAGCGTGGGTATTCCAACAATGGGAAAAAGAAGGCGGGACCGAAAGCAAGAGTGGATGAGCCTTCTTCGCTTCTGTAACTTTAAGAGAGTCTTTTAAGAAACTAAGGAAAAGATATCGATGACAAACACTATTACATTTGTGAGTTTGTGTATCCTGTCAGTGTTCCATCCTATCAGTTTCATGTTTATTATTATAAAATGCTAACTCCACGCCACTTTTCAAAAACACTGTCCCCCGCCTTTAAAATGCATATTGCATATACGCTTGCATATAAATGTCCAGTAAGGCTTGCATTTTGTATTTGGTTAGCATATTGTACGTTCTATATCGTTATATTTTACATACATTATATATAACATTAATTTAAGTGGGTCAGTGCCAAATGACGGCATGACAAAAAATATTGTGAAGTTCTTATAAATTGAATCCTTGTAGTCGTGTTGGTTGCATATATATGAATTTGTTTATCAGTCCAACACCTGGACATTTCTAATTCGAAGCCACACTAAAAAATATGAATAATAAAAAAAAACAAATTAACAATTGAAAACATGTTGATGATGGCAAAAGTGATACAAAAAATGCCTATTCTAAAATGAAGCAATAATCATGACTAAGCAGTAACAGTTACTGCAATTCTCAATGTTTTAATGAATCCCTAATAATTTAATCAACTTGAAATGCATATTTTAATAACTGAAATGATCTGCTCACCATTTCCATATAATTTTCTCTTAATGTGATGATTATTTGTCAGTGTATTAATGAACTTTTCCCCTCTCTCCTTTGTGAAGGTATTGTATGAATATTCAGTCATGCACCATGTTAGTGCCTCAGACTCGGGCTCTGGAGCTGGAAGGATGATATCACTAAACTCGCCATCTCTGCTTTTGTGAGCCCTAGTCAGAAGCGAGTAAAACAGGGATTGAAGCAAGGATGTTCAGACAATCGGAGCAAGGCAGGAGGCGTGTGAATGCCCAGCCATCTGCGCGCATAAGAGGGGTGGAGGTTGCGAGAGGAAGAACAGGCTATGGCTTCACACTATCTGGTCAGTCTCCATGTGTGCTGAATTGCATCCTGAAGGGTAGTCCGGCTGACTACGTGGGCCTTCGCTCTGGAGATCAGATACTAAGCGTGAACGACATCAATGTGTCCAAAGCATCTCATGAGGACGTTGTCAAGCTGATTGGCCGCTGTACAGGTGTCCTACACTTGGTCATTGCTGAAGGCAGTCATAAAGATGCACATTTAGATTCATGTTCAAGCGATGAAGAATTGGGCTTCCATGACCACAAGAGCCACTCACTGCGGCCAAAGATAGACTCAAAGACACTTGGCATAAACCGTGCAGAACGTGTCGTAGCAGAAATGCAGTCTGGTGGAATCTTTAACATGATCTTTGAAAATTCCAGCAACTCATCCAGCAGCTCGGAGAAGGCAGTAGCTTGTGCCTCTGCTTCTAAAACCAGGGCTCTCTCAGAGCCAGACTTCTCGTACGGTAACGACGGCACCCGACAGAGCGATCCCAACTTGCTCACTGAAGAGGAGATGGCCAAAGTGCTCAATGAAGACTCTGTGTTTGTTGATATTTTTGAACAGCAAGAAGAATTTGCCCTGTTGCAGAATGCAGACTCTGCGGGTATACTCAATGTTGGGATGGTTGTGGGATACTTGGGATCTATTGAATTAGCTTCAACAAGTGCCAATTTGGAAAGTGACAGCCTGCAAGCAATTCGTGGCTGTATGCGACGTCTGCGCGCAGAACAAAAAGTACACTCGTTGGTCCTGCTCAAAGTCATGCATGATTGTGTACAGCTGTGCAACGATCGAGGCGCTATTCTAGCCACTTACCCTGCAGAGAAGTTAGCATTCAGTGCCGTGTGTCCAGACGACCGCCGCTTCTTTGGCCTTGTCACCATGCAAGCCACAAATGACCACACCGTGAATCAACACGGTGAGGAGGAGCAAGGCTTGCGTACGTCTTGTCACGTCTTTATTGTAGACCCTGAACTCTGTCATCATAAGATCCACCAAGGTGTAGCCCGACGATTTGGCTTTGACTGCACTCCAGACCCAGATACCGGTGGCTGCTTAGAGTTCCCACCGACTTCCCAGCCGCTTCTACAGTTTGTGTCTGTGCTTTACCGTGATATGGGAGAATCTATAGAGGGTATGCGAGCTCGAGCTTTCCTCGATGGTGATCTAGATGCTCAGCAGAACAACAGCACAAGCAGTAACAGTGATAGTGGCATCGGGAACTTCTTGCCAGAGGAGAAAAACAACCGAGTCCTCTTGGTTGACTTGGGCGCAAACCCTAGTCGCCATGTTCCCACAGGACTATGGGAAAACCCACCAGGACCTCATAGCCAAAGTGTCCTTGGAGGTCTTCCACCACCGCCGCCGCCGCCGATCTCACATCGTAATGGCTACCGCCCTGACCAGTTTGTAGATCACCCTCAGCCCCATCCACATTCCCACGGAGACCCACCTCTGCTTTCTGGCAGGCATCTAAACTCCTCCTCACGGCTGGATGTGTCAGGTCTTCCTTCACGCTCGCACTATTCCACCCATGGCAAGAAGGTGACGGGGGCATCAGGCCAGCGTTGGCTGCCAGTTCACGTCCTGAGAGACTGGCGTCAGGGGCACAGCAGTGATCAGGAGTCTTATGCAGAGTCCACAGACGGATGGTCCAGTGCTAACTGTAGCACCCTGCCACCACCCATGAGTAAGATTCCAGCTGACCGGTACCGTGCTGCAGGCGAGATCGCCTCGCAGCCTCACCGGCTCCATGCGCAGAAGGACGAGTGGACTAAGAAGCTGTTTGGGGAGAAGAACCTACGAGAGCATCAGCAGCAATTGAACGATTGCAGAAGAATGAAAGATTCAGAGAAAAAGGTAAGAGAATTTTTTTAAGCCCCCGATTCAAGTTCTGTTTTCAAGGCTACCTCATTCCAGAGGAGTTGACCTCAAATTGAAATACATTCAGAATTACAACAGTAAGTGATCCTCCGGATTAGGAAGAATTAGTAAGTAATGATTTAAAATTTGATACAAGTGCAGTACACTGGTTAATGAGCCAGTGAATGTGTTGTTCAAACAATTGTTGTCTGTGCAAAAAGTCCTTGCAGGCGAAAAATAATGTTCTTGGAATGGATATCACCTTTTCCTTGTTCTTATTATCAGGCAGGGCATGATCCTTTACTTTGCTGTTTTCAATTGCACTAGGAATTTCCACCACAGAGTTTCTGCAAAAAATAAATAAAAAAGTTCACTGATATTCTCACTCATTTTATGTTTAAAATATGCTGTTGCTCTTATAGTTTTACATTGTTACTCAGTAAAACTGCACAAACACTTCACTGTCAAAAATAATTCTTTCAGGTAGGTGACATGCGTAGGCAAGCTGAAAATACCTCTTTCCCATTTGCTGCTTCAGCTGCTGCTCCTCGCTTGGAGGGAACATGTTAAAACTGACCCTGAGATGAGAAGATTGAGATACAAAGCTGGGTTCGAATCAATCTCCCAGTGGAAAACTTTCCGTTCAAATGGCTGTGAGCTTCTGCTCTGATCTGACTGCCTTTGATGGGCCTCCAGCAGCTCAAGTTTTGGATGGTAGATGTCAAACCACTGAAATGAATCTGATCAGGATAATTTTAGAAATGGTTCATCCAAACCAAATTCTGTCATCAGTTCATGTTGCTCCAAACCCATATGATGTTCTTTCCTCTGTGGAACACCAAAGGAGAAGTTTAGTAGAAAGTTGATGCACTCTCTTCCATAAAACAAAACCAGGTGCTGTTAAACTCCAAAAATTATGAAAGTAAATTGCCCTAAAACTACACTCTCAAGAAAAGTGGTTCTAAAGGGTATCAGATCAGGGTTCTTCGGTCTGCAACAATAGCAGAACCCTTTTGTCCCATCGTGTCTCTTTCATTAGTTTAAGTAAAAGCAATTGAGCCCTTCACAATTTGGGCAGTACCCTCAACTGAAGAGAGATGGTCGCACTTGCATGTTCAAAACACTAACACAAAGAACCATTTCAAAAGGGTTCGTCGGGATGATATGTTTGTAAATAAAACTGTTACTATGCTTAAAGAACCTATAAAGAACCATCTTTTTTGTATTGCGGATAACTCACACAATGTATTCCAAGTTTTCAGAAGCCATATGATACTTTGTGTTCTACAGATGAAATTAAAGTCATACAGGTTTGGATTGACATGAGGGTGAAATTACAATATTCTTCAACAGACTAAGTGACGTGACATGACATGTGGCCAAGTATGGTGACCCAAGTTTTAAGTGCTCTGCATTTAACCCATCCAAAGTGCGCACACACACACACACACACACAGCAGTGAACACACACCCGGAGCAGTGGGCAGCCATTTATGCTGAGGCGCCCGGGGAACAGTTGGTGCAGGTTCGGTGCCTTGCTCAAGGGCACCTCAGTCGTGGTGTAGCGCTGTACAGAGCGCTACACCAGAGCACAGAGCGCTGTACATTCACTCCCCCCACCTACAATCCCTGCCGGTACAAGACTCGAACCCGCAACCTCTGGGTTACGAGTCAGACTCTCTAACCATTAGGCCACGACTTCCCCTGGACTTCCTCCGACTATTGACTGGACTATTTGTGAAGTACTAAGCTCTCTAAAAACACAGTTTCTCAGATAAAGTAAATCCCCAGAACTGCTCCACAGGAGCTAAAGGGCCCAAACAGGCCCAAAGATGTCCACAGGCCCAAAGCAACAAAACAGACAACATTGATTGGATTTCCCAGAATAGTATTGTAGCTGTTATATGCATCATCTGTGACAATAGCTTCAGGGTCTGCTAAAAACAGTAAGGCATGTCAGACATCAATGGTCTTGTGTTCACTGCTTGAAGGAATTGTTTTTCATTCTCTGCTTGTTTCATTCTAGCACCGCTTATAATGTGGACATCAACATCAATTTTATTTTTGAATGTCTGCATAAGGAAAAGTGGTATTTTTGGATGCTGTAGCATTTCTTTAAGCATTTTCCACTAATTAATTTGAATAGTGTGACAAATTAATATTTAAAAATACAAATACTCCATGTAGTCTCTCATTTATTGAGGTAATAAAAACTGCATGCTTAAATGTAGTTGCTAAGGTGATTCCAGGCTGTATTATTGATATGGGAGCATTCTAGTTGAGCGCTGTTGACATAGAGACCATGCCACGTCTGTCTCACACTGGTGGCAGCAGCCATGACTGATGAAGAGGTGTGAGGTATCATGGCAGCATGAGTTTTAATAGTGTACAGTCAACCTGAATAAGGCTGATAAATTATGTTAATGAATGTAAGTTGCTTTGAAGTTGTAATTTTCTTTACTGCATTAGCTGCACAATCCCAAAGCATAGGGATCTATTCACAGTGGTTTTTATTATATTAGTTTAAAATGTCTTGTCTGTTTGTGAGATCATGAAAGAGACCAAACTTAACATTTGCTTGGCATCCACATTGGGGCATAAGTTGATCTCTTACTCACCAACAGGCGGCACTGTTCCACTGTCTGTGTGTCAGTTACAGGTCAAATACTTGTTGCAATATTGTATGATGATTCTTTTGCTTTGTTCATTTGACCTCCCAAACTCAATTACATTTTCAAATGATTATTCATTTAGGTGGTATGTATAAATGACAATGTAACACTGTACTGGTAACACTGTAGTAGATAGCAACACTTTAAGGACCAGTTCTCACTTTTAACTAGGCCTAGTTGCTTATTAGCATGCATATTACTAGCATATTGGCTGTTAATTAGTACTTACAAAGCAGATATTATTGCCTTATTTTGCATGGCCATATTTTAGATCCCTTAATCCTACCCCATACCTAAACTTAACAACTATCTTACTATTAATAAGCAGCAAATTAGGAGTTATTGAGGAAAAAGTCATAGTTAATAGGAAGTAGTGAGAATTGGACCTTAAAATAAAGTGTGACCTTTTAGAATAGGGAACACATATTTACTATTAATGAAGAGTTACCTCCTCAATAAATGCCTAATTACTGCTTATTGATAGTAAGGTAGTTGTTTAGTAGTCATGCAGAGAGAAGTGTTAAGGGATCTTGAATATGGTCATGCAGAATAAGGCATTAATATATTGTTAGTAATATGCATGCTAATAAGCAAAGTTAATAGTGAATATGTGATCCATACTCTAAAGTGTTACCAAAATATCTAACCAATTGGTTTCATTTTATTTATATTTTATTTAAATGTTCAATATATTTTCATTTGTTTGTCACTTATTTGCATTTATTGCACAAACATTTTTTCCCCAAATTATGATACAATAGATATTGTTCAAAGAAAAGACGAAAAGTGTTTTCTTGTTAATGTTAATAGTTAATGTAATGTCAATAGTTAATGTAATAAATGCAGCTGACTTCATACATCCACTAAAAATCACCTTGTCAGCAGTTGGCTAAAAGTAATTGCAAAATTGACCCACTGAACTGTGTACAAGAAAAATTTGTTTAATTTTCAGGTTTATATTATTTGTAAATTACTTACCTACAATGACTATTCATCATGTGCTAGAAAAAGACATGCCAAGACTTGAGGAGAGCAGTATAGAACAGTCGTCATGTCAGTTATAATCCATACTGGGTATTGTTTTTCAGTATTGAGATGTTTAACAGTTGGTTATATGAATACTTATTTGCAGTGGCTGTGTGGTTGTAATCTTATAGTGTGATGGATTATTCTATAATAGATTTTTGCAGATCTGCTTCATGGACCTACAGAGAACAAGATAGTTTTGCGATGGGTATGAAACAGATAAACAGATAGATGTTTTTATAGTGACATTTCTTGCTATGGTTTGTCATTCCAACATGGATGAAGTAAACAGGAAAGAAAGCTCCTCAAAGATAGCTCCTCCCTGATAAGTCCTAAGAGGTCTATGCAGTGCACAGTACATCCCTGCTCCCCACAGGAATCCATGATGTTATCTCAACCCCATGACTGACCCAACTGCACCCTAAGAGGGGTGAGAGAGCTAGAGAAGGAAAGTGTAAATAGTTCAGTTATGGGGTGAATAAATCAATAGGTGAAACTGTCATGAAATAAAAAAGAGGACAGAATGCACTTTGAGACCTTTCAGCTTGTACCATTCGCTCTTTGGCAGCCTAAAAAAGAGCTTTAGGCTGTGCTGATGTAAGCATAGTCATATGAGCCTCATGTTTCTATGCCTTTCCCTTCATCATTAATCTTTTGAAGTATATAAATAAAAAAATGTTCGTCCTAGGATTCAAGTGCTACACACAAAACAGAGCAGCTCCCGCTAACATCTGGAACATTTAGTGTTGTTCTCCAAAACCAATGTTGACAGCTCTATGCTTCTTTTCAGCAACCACCCGCAAGATTCACCCAAGGAACGTAGTTTAGTCCATGATATTTCTTTAGATTAATTCACAACGCTGTGGTGCTCAATTGCCATGGAAACCACTGGGGTGATCAAGAGGCGGTCGCTCATGTCTGGCTAACCTATTCCTCCATAACATGACCGATAGTGTTTTTAATGAAACCCAATATGGGTCTAGTATCCAGACACCAGGAATGAATGCAGAATTTATTCGCTGCACTACAAGAGCAAACCTTTGTGCTCTTTGAATTTTTGTTTGATTTGTTGTTTTGTTTTCCTCTTTACGTCGCTTTACGCTTCAGTTGTTTCACATACAGTTCTTAACTTTCATATCCTTTCTTTATGAAACCTGTGTTCATCTATTTCCATAGCGCACATCATTTGTTCTCTCCTGATTCTATGAGCTTTCTTTTTATGGTATGTGCATCATGTGAGTGTGTGTGTGTGATCGTGTCTTTGCATGCTTGCCTTGAAATTCACATTGTGAGTGTGTGTGATTGAGAGAGATATTATGTAAATGTCCTGTCTTGTTAGCCTTAAAGAAATGTTTCACCAAAAATGAAAATTCTGTCATTGTGTAGGCCCGCTCACCATCTTTCTATACAGAAAAAGCACACGAACTTCACATGTGCAATCACGTTAAAATCAATGTGAAATATGTGAAAGACACATGAAAAATGTGGTTTTGGAACACTTTCATGGTCTAAATGTGTGAAACCCATGTGATCGCATATTATCAATGTGTTAGACCATGCAAATATTCCAAAACCACATGTTTCATGTGTGTTTTAACTATTTCACATTGTTGAAATGATTTTCTAACAGTGATTTTAACATGTGATTGCACATGTGAAGTTCATGTGCTTTTTCTGTAAGGGAACCTTATCTCCAGGGAAACAAAGAAAATATTTTGAGAAATCTTTGAAATTTCCTATATTAAAAGTCAATGGTCACCAAAACGGTTGGATTACCAACATTCTTCGAAATGTATTATTTTGTGTTTGCAGAAGAAAGAATGTCAAACATGTTTGGGATGACATGAGTGTGAGTAAATGTTGACAGAATTATAATTTTTGGTTTAACTATCCTTTTAAATGCGGACACATTTGTGCATAGCTGAAGTATGTACTGCCCTGACTCTCATGTGCTTGTAGTCACTTGTGTTGGCATATTTGTGTGTGTGTGCATATGTTTGTTATCACTTGATGTGTCATAATGATGAGGCTGAACACACAGAGTTCGCTGCGTTTCTAGGCAACACAGGAGGCCATTTGATTACACTGCTCTTGTCATCTGCACAATCAGCCTCTAAACTTTAGCCTATGAAAATGATCCCTCTAATCAGTCTGTCTGACCACCTGACTACCAATTCTCCCATCATTTTACATTCGTCCTTCTGTTTCTTTGTCTAGCGTCACTGATGATCTTTCTCTGACTGCATTAGGGTTAATGCTGATGTATTTTTTTCTGTTGCAAGACTTTCTTTTATACCAGTTAAATGTGTAGAGAATGTGTAAATATTGTTGCTATGAGGCTTTGTTTGAGTGCTTACGGTTGAATAGCAATCAGACATACTACTTGCACCTGGTACATAGAGAATGGGCAAAAAATCTCTTTAAAGGGATACTCCACTTGTAAATGAAAATTCTCTCATTATTTACTTACCTTCATGCCATCCCAGATATACATGACTTTTTTGGACACAAAGAAAGATTTATAGAAAAATAATCCATCTCTTTGAGGCCATAATGCAAGGGGATTCCCAGAGTTGATGCTTTGCAAAGAGAACATGATGTTAATCCATACGACTCCATTTAATGAAGCAGTGTCTTCTGGCTTGTTTGTTGGAAGCAATTGTTTATATTAATATAGTTTATCTTAAAAAAAATTATAAAATAAATATTTATATTCTTCTTATACAAACATATTTCACTTCAATAGACATTGATTCAACCACTGTATTATATGGACATAGATCTAAAATATTTGTATTCATCTAAATCATCTAAAGAAAGAAAGTCATGGATTTCATGGGTTAGTAAATGATTTTCACTTGGGTTTTCACTTTAAGGTGCAGTCAAATTTTCCATTGTTTAGTGAGTTTTCATGGGCAAAATCCAGTAATTTCAATTGGAATCCCAGTCTGGAATTTCATGTGAGTGTAAAAAATGTCCCAACGTGGATTACAGGTTCAAGTTGGTCATACAAATTTGCTGTGAGCTGTGCTTAATAAATCGCTACACTATTGACAGTAGACCTATTTTGCATATGAAGTTTTACTGAAAGTTTGCTAGTGTGACTGTACCTTTTCACTGAAAAAAGTACTTAAGTCGGTTGCAGTAGTGGCAGGTGTGAGTTTTACACATGCAAGCATTACATACACAAATTTTCTTTAAGAAAATTATACAAATCTTGTTATTTTGGCAACACTGTGCAGTGCAGCTAGTGACACAAATGTCATATTTAACTTAACTTGTGTTGTTAGGAAATCCTCTTATAAAAATCACATTAGTGACAAAAGTATCCTTTACGTGGTTAATTTTTACACTCGCACACACAAGTGCACATTTCCCCATGTGTCTGTTCATGTGATCCTCAAACAATATCGCCAAACGTTCCTCTCATAATGAAAACAAACAGCGAGAGGAGAGTTGTTTACTGGCTCCTCTGTGTATTTCACACGTGGAGTGGATGAGAAATGTTGTTGTCCTTTTCAAAAATAGGGAGAGGGAGACAAAGCGCTTATCACTTCTATTTCTCAGGAGACTGTTTTGGTAGACGGACACTGTGATATGATTATGAGCTGGGATTAAGACTGTCCACCAGACTCTCTTGTGTGTGCAGAACTAAGGATGAACGCAAATGTAGAAGTCTGATGAATGATCATGAGTGAACTTAAAACATGATATTTAAAAGTGATTTAAAATACACTTTTATAATAAATAATCATTTAAAATAGCATTTGCATATGTTTTATGATGTAATTTATTGTTGAATTTTCCGCAGCCATTACTCTTCAGTCACAGGATCCTTCAGAAATCATTCCAATATACTGATTTGCTAATGTGATGGTATTTAATATTTAGAAGTATTGTTTTATTTGTCACATTTCTATATTCAAAAGTTTTATATTTAAAACTTTAATCAAATAACATTTATGCAATTGTAATTATAGTGTGTAATTTAATTTTTATTATTTTATCAAGACATTTCTCAGTCAGTAGTAGCCTAGATGAATTTTAAAAGTGCTGTCTTGATCTTGGTCTTGACTCGATCTCTCCTTGCCTTGGTCTTGGTCATGTTTTGGTCTCAACACACTCTGGTCTTGACTTGATCTCGATTTAGGTGGTATTGACTACAACACTATTCATTTAGTCATTTAGTCATTTTGCAGACACTTTTGTCCAAAGCGACTTACAATTGGGGAATACATAAAGCGATTCTTCTTAAAGAGGCAAACAGACGCAGGAAGTGCTCATAATACCAAGTTTTAGGCATTTGTTCAAATAAGTATTTATCACTAGTTTATTTATCAAAGAATCCTGAAATAAAATGTATCTCAGTTTTTACAAATATATTAAGCAGTAAAAACGTTTTTCAACATGGAACCACTATTAATAATTAAGCACCAAAGCAGCATAATAGAGTCATTTTTGAAGGATCATGTGACACTGAAGACTGTGTTGTCATCAAATAAATGACTTTTTAAAATATATTCATATAAAGAGTTATTTTTAACTGTAATAATATTTTACATTACTTCTGTTTTTACTGTAATAAAATCTTATTTATTCCAAACTATTTGCTGGCTTTACTCAGCTCAAATAAAAAAAAAGTTCACAATTTCCAGCAAATGTCTTAAAGGGATACTCCACCCCAAAATGAAAATTTTGTCATTAATCATTTACCCACATGTCGTTCCAAACCCGTAAAAGCTTTGTTCGTCTTCGGAACACAATTTAAGATATTTTGGATGAAAACCGGGAGGCTTGTGACTGTCCCATTGACTGCCAAGTAAATTACACTTTCAAGGTCCAGAAAAGTATGGAAGACATCGTCAGAATAGTCCGTCTGCCATCAGTGGTTCAACCGTAACATTAAGAAGCGACGAGAATACTTTTTTGTACGCGAAGAAAACAAAAATAAATGACTTTATTTCAACAATTCGTCTCCTCTGTGTCTCTCCGCATCACCGTAGCGCCATTTTGGAGAATATCCGCTGAACGCAAACTGTGTACGCTATTCTGTGTCAGTCGCGACACAAGGATACGTTTTCTACGTGTATTTACGCTTTGATCTGAACGAAAACAGGTCATTCATGCACCGCGGCTGACACAGAAGAGTGTACGCTGCTTGCGTTCAGCAGATATTCTCCAAAATGGCGCTACAGTAATGCGGAGAGACACAGAGGAGATGAATTGTTCAATAAAGTTGTTATTTTTGTTTTCTTTGCGTACAAAAAATTATTATCGTCGCTTCATAATGTTACGGTTGAACCACTGATGGCAGATGGACTATTCTGACGATGTCTTTCATACTTTTCTGGACCTTGACAGTGTAATTTACTTGGCAGTCAATCGGACAGTCACAAGCCTCCCGGTTTTCATCCAAAATATCTTAAATTGTGTTCCGAAGACGAACGAAGCTATTATGGGTTTGGAACGACATGGGTGTAAGTGATTAATGACAACATTTTCATTTTGGGGTGGAGTAACCCTTTAATGTGTAAATATTTGTATTTACATTAAAAGTTCAACAACTGAGACATAAATTCAATGGGATTCACAGACATTTGATGAACAGAAATAGAATGATGAGTTCCTGAAGTAAATGAATATGAAAAGTAGCTGTCAGAATCTGGTGTGGCCACCAGCTACTTACAGTGCATCTCACCCTCACGGTGCACACCAGATTTGACAGTTCTTGCTGTGAGATGTTACCCCACTCTTCAACTAAGACATTTGCAAATTCCCAGACGTTTCTGGGGGGACACATGGTTACACGTGGTTTGCCAGTACAAAGACGATGGAACGTTTAATGAATCACAATACACATTGTATCATAAGGACTTTTGCATTGTAACAATGTTGGTCTTGTGTATGTTACTAATGTCTTTCTCTCTGTTTCTCACAGGGTGGAAGATTTAAAGGCATCACTATGGGTTTTCCTCAGCGTTCCTCTGGCAGACGATCTTTTGGACGTTCCAAGCGTCTCAGTATGGCTCGCTCACTTGATGACCTTGAGGTAAGGTTCCCCAAATGCTTTTCTTTTTCTCCTCAGGAAGGTGTCCCTACATTTCAGTCTCTGTCTCTCTCGCATTCTCAAACTTCTCAGCGTTCCGATCCTATCACTCGGAGGGTTGGGAATGATTACATAAGGGTATGAGTGATCTACGCAGTAATTCAGAGACATGCATGCACACTGAAACAAACAAACACAAGTAACCCTCTGGAGTGCATGAACTCTAGGGCCCTTATTCATGGAACGACAGCTGTGTGCCTGTAGAGCAGGTTTGACACCGCAGCGAGGGTATTCTAGTGTATTAATGGCTGTGGTCACACTCACACACGTGAGTTTAATTTTAGACCCAGCAGTCAAAGAGATAGAGTGCATCCACGTGTCGTGTGATGCTCGCATAAGTGTGGTGACGGCAGATTGCCATGGCAACGGAGGAGACGGTGAAACATGGATGGTGTAATTTTCAGATGGAAGAGCTTGGGGGCACAAAAAAACTGACAGCACATCACATCTCAGTCTATCCTGATAGCCAGCATGCCAGTGGCTATTATAGTTTTATCTTTTTTTGTGTGTGTAATTAGAGGCTTAATTTGGAACATTAAAGCTGAAGTGTGTGTGTTTTTGTTTACATATTTTCTCCTATTCCAACTTAATTTGTGCATAAAACAATAAGTGAAACATTCATGTGTTGTTTTTTGTGAAAAGTGTAAACACTTGATTGATTTGATTTGTGGTGGTATGAAAACATTGCTTGACAAATAGTAGTGATTTGGCAACCTGTTTAAAAAATCTTTTTTTTTTAAATGTTAACATTTTAAATGAACATCAATCTGTGCTTAACATTCACAAAGTTATCCATTATAAAACTAAAGTCCTCCTTGGTATAGCATGATGACTGAGTACAAGGAATGGGTTTCTACCCAGAAAATCTTTGAACTGGACCCATGAATTTAACCCATAAGTATTTAACTTATTCCGCTCCACTCCTAAATAATGGAGGTTGATGGGTAAAAGTTGCCAAAAATAAAACGGCTAAAAAAAATCACATAGATTTAAACACTTAAAGGTGACATATCATGAAAATCTGACTTTTCCATCCTTTTCCAACCAAGGAAAGGTGAAAAAGATTTACACAGTAACTTTGTTTTGGTAAGCCATTTTCTGCAAGGGTCTGAAAAAATGAGCGCGTCTGATTTCGCTCCCCTAGTGACGTTGCAAAGGGATCTCATTATAATATTACCTCCCCATAATCTGCAAGTTTCCACCCATGGCGTCATCATTTTGATTTTGCAAGCAACAACGGTGTACCAGTCCAGTTCTAATGCCATGGCGAAAGTTTGAGCAAAACATGCTATCTGTCTTTGGCTGCACTGACGAGCACAGAACACTATTTAGAGTTCATTTACTGTATATTGCTGCTGCCACACAGATCTAAAATAAACATGCAATTTATTTCCCAGCTGTTTACCTTCACAGACATAATCGACTGTTTTTGTAACTTGTGTGTGTTTTTAACGTAAACTTGTGTGTGATTGAGAAGTTAGTTTAGTGCTCACATGCTGTGTGACAGCCGCTTTCTGTACGTGTGCTTCGGATGTGTGCGCTCAGAAAACCATATATCAGAAGTTTAAACTAATATGGCTTAAAATGCATGATTTCAGCGCGATAAACATGATAATCAGAACCAAAACAGATGTTTTAGCAGGTACAGCTGTAATGGCACAGCTCTATTCTGGAAAAGGGGGCGGGGAGCAGCAGCTCATTTGCATTTAAAGAGACATGGACGAAAAACAGCGTGTTTCTGCTTCCACTCTAAATAGGCATTTTCAAAATGATATAATGAATAATTTGTGGGTATTTTGAGCTAAAACTTCAGTTACATTCTGGGGACACCTGAGACTTATATTACATATTGTAAAAAAGGGCATAATATGTCTCCTTTAAGGAGGGGCCATAGCTATATCATTGCAAAAATCTTGGTTTCAGTTTCCATGAAAAGACACATATACATTTATGCAGTTGCCAGATGCTTTTGTGCAAAACCACCGACATTGCATTCAAGGTATTTTTAATTAGTTCATGTATTCCCTGGGAATTAAACCCATGCATTTGTCATTGCCGGCACTATGTAAATGCATTGTAGGTAGCTTTGGATAAAACTTCTTCTATATGCATAAATGTAAAAATATAGTTAAAACTGTAATAAATTATAATACTGTTCAAAAGTATGAGGTCGGTAAGATGTTTAAATGTATTTGAAAGAAGTCTCTTATGATCACCAAGACTGCATTTATTTGATCAAAAATACATTAAAATTAGTGAAATAATTAAAATAATAATTTCCTATTTAATATATAATGTTAAATATAACATAATATTAAATGTAAATCTAAATGATCAGTCAATAAATAAGTAACTGATCCCAGAAAACTGTTACTCTTTTGGACTCATGTTCATTTCATGATCAAAACTTTGCTCTTTTAAAGAGCAGGAATCCTAGCTGAGTCACATAGCATGAAAATGAGTCTCCGTGCCACTCTGACGGGACAGTCACACTGTTGATCAGGCATGATAAGATAAAAGAATGAAACGCTTCCTCCAGTTAGTGGCTGGAACAAACACTCGCCTGATTGCATAAAGTGGGTTGTATTGAGTGAAGAAGAGAGAAAACAACTGTTTTAAGCTCTTAAAATCAGGGCGTTTGTCATCTGCGCTGTACAAATGCTAAGAAAAGCCTTGATAGTTAATACAGAAACTGTGATAATGCTATAGATTGAAAAGGTTAAATGTGACTGTTTTATATTTTTTCCTCATGCTTTCATTATTTTCTTGGAGTCTCTCTCTCTTCAGTCTCCTCTCATCTCTTTACCTCGTCTTCCGGTAGCTTCGTCTCTTTTCTCAGAGCTGCACATATACAGGGTGGCGGCACTTGTGTGTGAACAGAGCTCGCTTTGTGAAGCAGCACAGTAATTAGTGTGAGAGTGTGTGTGTGTGTGTGCTAATGAGCATTGAGCAGCATTCTTCTCGTTAGCAGGGATTCTGCTACGAACTCACACACTCTCTGCAGTGAGGCATGAACGTGCATACACACTCTTAAATTACATGCTAATTGAATACTGTCCTTAAATGCTGTGACACACACTCTCAAGCTCTGAGATGAACATACACAAACAACATCAGGAAAGGCACTAATTACCAGCTTCTCCAGAACACACACATATTTCCTCTGGCTGGCCTATCATGTAAGAGAAAGCGAGCTATGCAGTTATCTTGTCAGCGAGTGTTTACCCGGTGAGATGTAATTTCTCTTCATGCCCACAGACACTGTGTGACATCACGCCAGCCTTTCCAGCCTTCAGTTTGCTCACTGAGCCAACAGATTCCACCCCCCATTCAAAACTGTTCGTGACTATTGTTGAAAGTCACGAATACGATTTATTTTTAAATACAAACTCATTTTACATGGATAATTTAGGCTGAATGGCACTCCGGAGACTGACTGACTTGAAATGCACATATTTGGCCTTATAATGTATCATTAGTAAATAACTGAATTTTGATCTTCATAATCTTATAAGAAACAAATAATTTTGCTTCAGTATGACTTCTTGGCTGATGTCATCAAACTTTTTTTTTTAAACTGCCACCATTTAGAGCAGGGACATTTTTTTGACTCCAAGGCCCCCATTGTTCAAAACAATATTGAAAGACCAGACACTCCTATAGTATCTATAAAATAAATTTCAGGAGGTTTTAAGAACTGAAGGTTTTTCCAAGATTCCCACTCTTTTTAAGCAATGGATTTACATGCCTTTTCCATTAGTTTGTGATTTACCAGATAATAAATAAAGATGAAATATTTTTTTAAAATATTTTTTTACCTGATACAATAGCCCCTTTCACACAAAGACTTTACTAGAAAATTACCAGTAAATTGCCGTAAAGAGATCATGTGTGAATAGGCCCCTTTTAAAAATACTAAAAAAAAATAGTACGAGAAGTTGTAACATTACCAGTAAATTGCTAGAATTCTGCTGTGTGTGAACGCAGAATGAAAATTACCGGTATGAGCACGTACAAGGTCAGGACGCGCTGACATAGATGTCTACTCCGGGCCAATCATAACATTCTGACGCAGATTATGCATTTACTCCGCGCTGTGTTTGTAATGCGATGTCTCTGGCCAAAAGAAGCTGCATGTGAACATTTGACACAAAGGGCCTGTTTACACCTGGTCACTTCATACATTTTCTCTGATCGAATAGCTATCCGTTTGTGAAAAGACCAGGTGTAAAAT